TTTTTCTTCATCACCCATCAATTCCATCTTTTTACTGTTTTGTGCCTTTGTGTTTTTCCCTGTATTTTCTCTTTCACTAAATTTAATTCTTCCCCTTCCCATATGTCATTCAAAAATACTGTCCTCTGTAATTTTTCTTATTCCTCAAACACTTCCCAAATTTCCTTCTTTTTTTGATTATGACTAGAAAATACAGATGATAAGTGTGTGACTTCATCCTATAAAAGTATATTTTTACTAAAAACAAAATCTTAATCTGGTACAAATTAAAACCAAACTGCTAGCTTATTTCACATTTATAGAGTGTGTCAGCATTGATCCAGCTATTCACAGTATAATAATCTTTAATACCAGAGTATTAAAATATTATAAAATTCCTAAAAGTTTTAAACAAAATTTCTTATGAAATAATTCCCAATCTAAACAATATGTGTATTATGTACACCAACATAGGAAACTAAACAAAATAATTCTATTCTTAATTCTAACCCTAACTCTAAACGTAATTCTAATTTTCTCTTGGGATTGGATGGTGTAAAAAAATTACAAAAGATATTTTTTAATTTTAAAAAAGTTTACTATACTGGTCATGCAATGGTTAAAGTGCTCGGCTGCTAACCAAAAGGTCAGTGGTTCAAACCCACCAGCCACTCCATGGCAGAAAGATGTGGCAGTCTGCTTCCATAAAGATTTACAGCCTTGGAAACACTAGGGGGCAGTTCTACTCTGTCCTATAAGGTTGCTATGAGTCAGAATCAACTTGACAGCAGTGGGTATAGTGGAAATCAGTAGAATAGACACAGGTGACATAATAGGACATAGCTCTGAGTTCCATTACCAACTCTGATAAAACTGATAGATAAAGCAAATTTTGAAATGGTTTTACCTGTTGCAGAGCCATAACATTACTTTTATCAGCATCAAGTTGGGCATTTTTAAGTTTCTCCCTCAAGTTATGAAGCATTTTCTGATACTCAATAATTTCATCATCTTTAGAAGACAAAATTAACTAGAAATAAACCAAACAATATCTGTCACACAAAAGAAAAACTAATAAACCATTCCTCATTAGTGGTGAATACTCTAATATATACTACTAGCATATTTCAAGGAAATACAAGAAATAAAATCTTGTGAAGTAAGAAAGTATCAACAACTTCAAACTTTCAGTCTTGTTCCTTTTGTGTTTACAACCTGAAGTATGAAATGTTTGAAAAGCATATAGCACAAAGTTTTGCTTTTTAAGAATTCAATCTTTAAATAATCTCAAGGTTTCAAAACCATATACAAATAATAAGAATTTATACATACTTCTATACAAATGCAAGAAGTTTTATACAATTGATTTTTTTATGAAGAAAACACTAAAATGCCACTGGGAGGCATAAAATAGATTTTAAATGAATGGAAAGGCATCTTATTTTCTTAGATAGAGGAACTAAATATTACAAGGATGTCAATTCACCCTAAATAAACCAATAAATGCAACACATACCTAATAAAAGAATCAACAAATTTTTTTATTTTTGAAGAACTGAATAAGTTGTTTCTAAAATTCATATAAAAAATGTTCATAAAGAAAAACCTAAGAAAAGAATGAGCAAAGAAGAATAGCTTTTGCAGATACTTAAACATACGATAATTAAGACCAG